AGCACCTCCCCTGACCATGTCATTCTACTCTGAACACACAGTACCCACCACATCACAGTCGCAACAAAACTGACAGTATATTTGATTAAAATTTTGAAATAGCATGTTTGCCTTCATCATTAAATGGACTAATGCCGATGTGACGTTAAATCTTAACTCACTCACTCATTAAATGGACACCTAAAGTAGATTAACAAAACACCTGATTTCTTTATGCTTTAGTCTTGAGTAGAATGTCAGACAATACATTTTCAGCAAATGCTCAAACCACCATGACCAACATGTCCTTATTGTGTCCCAATGACCTCATCCCACAATCCAATGCTCTGGTGATGTGTCTTGTATGAATTACAAAGTACGGAACATTAGTATGTGACCATGTCACCATCCAAACCATGACTTATGGGTGACCACAAACCGGTTGCTATAGTCTGTCTCCCAATCCCTGGACCACTAATATTTTCCATTGTACCCAATCCTTTCTGCTATGCCAAAGCCCAAAATAAAGCAAGTTAGATTTTTTAGATTTCAATCAAACGAACACAAGTCTTCTTTTCACTAGAAAGACTTGCACAAAGATGAGACACTGTGAGTTACTCATGTTTTACATGTTCACTTAACACTAACAGAACAATTGTTACAGGAATTATTATTATTATAGGATATTTATATAACGCACATATCCAAGCAACTAGTACATGCTCAAGGCATTGCTTTTTCCCTCGATCATTGGATGTCAATCTCAAAGGCACATCATATTAAAAATCTGAACTCCCTGGGGATCATACAACTTTTGCAGCCACTAGGCGCACCAGGTTATTGTGGCTTTCCCATCCTTATGATGTACCCATTCACAGCTGGGTGGACTAGGACACATAGCCACAGTACTTTGTCCAAGTTTACTGCATGTTGCTGTACCCACAACTAGGTGTTTGTACGTATTCAAGTGGCCACCATCTGGTCATTTACCAACGGATTCATAGGCTCTTTTAAGTGCACAGGGAATGGCCTTGTTGTATTATTGACACTGATTAAAATAGCATGTAGATGTAGTTCATGTCGGATCCAGCATGATTCAGACCTACTGGTCCACTTGCTTCAAAAGCTAACAATATCGTTGTCACACACCAGGTATTGCCCCATCCTCTTTAATCTATATTAATTTATCTCATTCTGTTAGTGTTATGGACACACTGTGCCTCTTAGAAAGTGATCATATGCACATGTGGTTTGCATGTGCCATAATGCAGTGGTATATGCTGTTATACCATGTGTGTGAGTTGAGAAAACAAAGATTGCATCAATTCATCAAAATGAAAACATCTCTACTGCATGAGACCATAATTTTATGACAGGGTGAAATTTAAATGGATCACAAGATATCACAATGTTCTGGTTTTTAAGTCTGAGTAAAGGAAGGAAAAAATTGGCTGTTTTGTTTTGAGCGAGCACACAAAAGTTGACTCAAGTATTGGTGACTGTTGTTCAGGTCATGGAATAACAGGCTAATTTGATTGAACATCCATCTTCAGTGTTGCCTAGAAACAAGACTGTGGTAACTGGGTCTGGGGTCACAATATATATCACAATAGAATGGAGATATGATACACTTGATATTTGAGATTAGGGTCACAATATGTATCACAATAGAATGGAGAATATAATACACTTGATAATTGAGATTAGGGTCTAAATACATATCATAATAGAATGGAGATATGATCAACTTTATAATTGGGATTGTTATTGCTAAGGCTACCATTTGCATTAATTATGTTAATAACAGGTATTTTGTCTTGGATTCCAAGAAATTGCTATTTACCTACATTAAAAACATTTTATTTCGTCATTGTACTCAAGGCTGTACTGTAAAACTATCATAAAACCTCTTCTGCTTGATTGGGACCACCTCCTCTAATGGATAGAGCATCTACCCGGAGAGCTGCAGGTCTATCTCATACCTAAAGACAGTCAGAATATGGTGTCCTAGACTAACAACTAGTCTCTGAAATGAACATATTTTACTGAAAAATGTTCATAGTAAAAAAAATAAATATAATGAAAAGGAGCCCTGAAGCTGAGGAAATCTAGACTTGCCACATTTTCTAGACTTGTGAGGGCTTTCTTGGATATATTTGCTTCAGGGTCTGTACGACAGACTAATGGTGTCCCTTGTCTGGCACTCTACCCATGTCAGAGCAGGGTATGTAAGTTAGTAAGTGAGTGAGTATGGTTTTATGCCGCTTTTAGCAATATTCCAGCAATATCACAGCGGGGGACACCTGAAATGGGTTTCACACATTGTAACCATGTGGGGAATCAAACCTGGGTCTTCAGCATGCCAAGCGAACACTCTAACCACTAGGCTACCCCACCACCCCATATGTAAGTTAAACTACACCATGGTATCTCAGAGGGCAACCACTATAAACATGATAAAGCTGCCCCCACCTTCACACACAATTGCTAACATCCAATTCTACACACACTAACATACAATAACACACATGGACACTAACAGACACACACTAAAATGTCGCCATGTCTGTGCAAGTGTCTTTAATGTGATGTTAAGATCATTTCACCTTATCACCTGTGATCAGGGAATAACAATTTACATCTAAGAAAAACACAACAAAATATAATAACCAAACACAATGATTTCAAACTGCACACCACAAATCACTTCCCTTGTAAGATGGTTGCATGGTGAGCACTTAGGGTCACAGCTGATTGAATGATGCCGTGTTAAGTATACATGAAGCAATGACAATGTAACTAGAGCTGATTTCTGTGTGAATGAGGAACTGTCAAAAAGTGTCTAGACCATAAATAACGCCTTTCAGTCAATATAACTTAACTCTCATGACTATACAGAAACAAAAAGGTATTATTTGTTCAAGAAATGTCATCCACACAAAAAATATATTAAAAGGTTAATTTGATCTCAGACATGACAGATTTGTTAGGTTTGGGTGAAATACTTTTTCCAATTGCATGGCCAACAACAGAAATTGACTAATGGGACATGATGACTGCACTTACATCTGTCAAGAACAACAACTGACACTACTCCATGAAAGAGCTGACACTTCACTAGAACTGTATAAGCTGGCCAACATGTTACCAGACAAAACGCTGAATCAACACGTACTCTATTGGATTTTATCAATGTGGGAATTCTATGAGGCAAAACGTGGCACATGCTGGTGTCAACAGGTGCTTCATACACCTACAACTTCTGTTTTTTAAAGTGATCATGATAAGGTAGTCTATTGTAATAAATGCGACTATCTTTTCAGGAGGAATCATATTTGTTAAACTAGAGAGCCCTTGTACAAAGCAACCTTTGTGCTATAAGCGTTGTACGTCTATGTTAAGGTATGGGAGTTACCTTCACTTTAGAGCTAAAATTGCTTTGTACAATGACACTCTGAACTAAATTATCTTAAGGCTCTTGACTGTTCTAAGTAACTCTGCAATGTCAGGTGCAAAGATATACCAGTATCTATTTATTTCACAAATTATAGACTGTTTTCAATACAAATAGTATATACTCAAATATATTAAAGAACACCCAATATTTCCACATGACAAGATGATCAGTTATGGCTGTCATATTGAATGACCTTATTATATAATATAAGTTCATGATGGTACTATTCGCAAATATTTAAATGTATCAAATACTATAATAATATCACCAATATTACAAAATAACACATTTCATATTTGTCATTTTAAAACTGTTGACAAAACATTACCATGATTACAGACAATGACTTCTTCTCATTTAACGCTGAGGTTATTATCGATCAGGAGTGGTCCCAATAACTAGGACTCTGTTTAATTCATATGCAGTAATATCTGTTAGCCTCCTAGTTCTGTCAAAAATTACAAGTGACTTGTTACTCTGGTCAGAGACCATATACCGATCGGTATATGGTCTCTGCTCTGGTATATTACAGGGTTGCCACAGGTGACAAAAGTTCAAATTCCCTGACTTTCCCCTGACCTGTGGCAACCCTGTTAATTAACTTAGCAGTAAAAACCACTGCTAAATAAAACTGCACAAAGCATGGAACTGATTTTGTCAAAATCCTAATGATGGGTTAAACTATATTTTAGAAGTTGGTAGATAACAGTAAAGCCAAGATATATTATGGATGGCAATTTCTTTATTCTATTGTGATACTTTTTTGCCATGTCTCAATGTAGACAGCCTTCGAACTGTTTGATTGGCATCAAAATAAAATATACAAGTCGTCACCCCTAAATTATCCAGTGTTTGCCCTTAATGACATTATTTCTGATGATTTGCATTTTTTATATCAAGTATATTGGGGCTTGTATGGCTTCTGATGACTAACTTGGATAATGTTCTCTTGTTGTCATGGGAATGTACTTAAAGTAATGATGGCAGTAATCTCTGCACATTACTATCAGATGTATGTTGTTCTAATATTGAAGTGTTCTTGATCTCATTAGATAATCAGAGAGGTCAGAGTAAATTTGGGCAAGTAACCATTGTCAGCGAACATGGTCAGTCTAATACTTGCTGATGCTGCTAAAAATGACAGTGGTCAACCTAATGTGGTCTGTCTAATACTTGCTGATGCTGCTAAAAGTGATGGTGTTCAACCTAATGTGGTCTGTCTAATACTTAAAGTGACAGACCAAAAATTGAACATTGAGGAATCTTGATTAGAATTTCAGAGGACCTATTCTACCCTACTCTGTGACATTAAACACCTATCTGACTACTAAATAAAATCAAGACTTTGCTGACCCAGAAAACAAAGCAGTAGTAATATATGAAAATAGGACAGACAAGGTCCTGTTCAACGCTATCAAAGGATTCTATATGTTGAAAGTCAGACTGCATATATTGATTGCATAATTAAATATACTTTACTATCATACTCGCTGATGACATGGTAGCATGTCAGATGAGGCACATTTCAGAGGAATTTATAAAAACTTGACATTCAATATATTACCTGCTGCATGGACACCGCCTTTGGATCTAGATGACTTGACCTCAGATTCAGCCATAACAGCCCTGGTGTGCTGTATCTCAACCATGGTCTCAGTACGTTTCTCCACATGAACAATGCGTTCCTTCTCCAAACGCTCAGCCTTCTCTTGCTTCTTGCTTGCTTTGGTCTGCTGCTCAGAGTGCTGTTTATCTTTTCCTCGTTGCTGCTCATGGTGAAGCTCAACCTCATCCTTAGGTGCCTGTTCCTTGTGATAAAGTTCTTTCATCTGCTTGCCCTCAGCCACAATTGGCTTTTCGTCTTTGTTGACCAGAATGGACTTCGACTTTTTGTTTTTAGACTTTTTGGTATTCAGTGCTACAGTTTCAACTGGTTCAATAATTTCAGGATCAATTTCAAGATTAACCATTTTGTGATCTCTTTGTACTTCAGTTTCTTGCACTGGGGCTGGCTTGTCGGGCTTTTCTTTTGTTTTTTCTTTGCCTTTACGATATTTTTTCTTGTGTTCCTTCTCTGCTTTTTTCTCACTCTTCTGCTTTTCTCTCTCTTCCTCCTGTCGCCTACGCTGTTCCTCAAGGACCTCCTCAAAAGTTTTCTCTTTCATAGTAAAGGCAGATATCAAATAAATTAGAATTGCAGAAATAACAAATGCTGCAGCACCAATGAGGATAGTTTGGGGATCCATGATGCTGATCTACGACTTGTGTTCAAAAATAACAATAATTAAGATTTTAAAATGAGGTTTCTGATGACTGGACTCAAATCTTCTTGGAAGCAAGTGTGAATAATGGCCACGCCCCTTACTTCAGGACTGGACACACTGTGGGACACTTGCTCAACGACAATCAAACCGATATGGCTAATATATGTCACATAAGCTTCAAGATCTTAGTCCAGGGACAATTCTGTGTCAAGTCTCCATCAGAAACCGGGTTCCTGTTAACAGAAATAAAAGACACGAGTTAAGATGCAAGTCCACGTAAGCACACGATTTTTAGAAGAAACCGGCCGGTGAAAGATCTGACATCGGCTGTATAATTTCTTACACTTATTTAATTCTGTTCGTGGTACCGTTTAAAATGTTCCCGAAATATGTGACCTACCACGCGTGTCAATTATTTTTCCTCTTCATTTACACGAATGTCAACGTGGAAAATACGGTAGCCCATCCGTCTGCTGACCTTACACTAGTTGGCAAACAACATGAACAATAGCAAGTCGGAATACAGCCCAACCTCGAATGTAACACGGGCTGCGATTGGTTGAAATTTATCATGGCGAGTTGATCTTTTGTTTCTCCTCCCTGCCACGTCAGTTCATAATTTTATAGAAAATTTCATCTGCGGGAGAAAGAGCACCCATACGACATCAGAGTACTTTTACACAAGTCAATGTTTAATTTGATATTCAATCATAAAATACACCAATGTCGTTTATTTCTCTGCAGTCCATTTCATGCTTTCACTGCTCCCAATGGCCGGGTGCCCGCTCACCACGGGGGACAGCCATTCACAGAAGCCGGAGAGTGTACTGCCTTGGCAGATACGATTCTCCTGACGGCAAATATCTAGTCGCACTGAAAATGCTACGTTTGAGACTAATGTGTTCAAGTGTTTGTACCACAATTAATTGATAACAACATATGTAGTAATTTCAGAATGAACATGTCGGTAAAATGCCACAGGGAAAAATATATTTAATTTCGTTCCGGTTGTTATTTACGATGTAGTGGATATGCAACAAGCCTCCTCAAAAGCTGGTGTAATTTGTTCATGAAGAACATTACATAAGACACACCGAAGCGCTAGGAAATCAATGTTGATGTTTGTATCTGCTTCAACGCCATAGTTAATTTACAACTTAAGCACGGCGCGTCGTCCAACGTAGTATCTCATGTAACAATTTAGACCTCTCCGTGAAATGGAAACCGTGCATAGTTATCGTTTTCTGGACAGAGCATACGACAGAAACCCATTTACAGGAACTGTCATAAACAAAATATATTTATAACTTATTTATTTCACATGAAGGAATAAGATGAGCTTAATATAACACTGTAATATAGGCAGGTGGGGTTAGTTTAATGGTAGTTAGTTATGAAAGGTCAGGGTCCTAGCAGGACACGCTAGGTTGATCGGCTTGTTGCTGGTCCACGCGAGGTAATCAAACCAATGAAGTATGCATTATCCCTAACACAGATAGGTGACTGACTGACTGAGTTTAGTTTTACGCCGCTTTTAGCAATATTCCAGCAATATCACGGCGGGGACACCAGAAATCAATTGTGCCCATGTTGGGAATTAAAGGTCTTCGGCGTGACGAGCCAATGCTTTAACCACTAGGCTACCCCACCGCCCCCACAGATAGTTGTGAAATAGACAGACAGACGGATTATTTTATTACAGTCTCACTTGTTTTACATCTTGTTTCAGCCGTTAATAATGTACACATGAAAGCATGTAGTAACAATTAACCAATCGCGCAGCGATTAATGAGAGACTTACAATAAAAGTACAATATAAAATACAGTAAGTAAAGCAATATTCCAGTAAAATGTCACACACTGTACCCATGTGGAAATACAGTAAGAAAGAGTAAAATGTATATAGTTGCGGTATGAACAATATGTACATTTAAATATAGAAGGTACGTATGTATTTACATATAAAGAATGCTTTTTCGTTGTGTTAAAATGTCATGGCAGGTTTTGGCAGTGTAAAAACTAAGATGCGGACATGATAAAATACGACTAAACATCTGGTCCCTATTTAAAATATCAAAATCAAGCCACTTAGCCCTGCTAGCAGTGATGAGATTTTTACGCTCTTCGTTATAAAGTGGACAGTTTAAAAGAACGTGATCTTCATCCTCGACACAGTCTGCACAGTTAAAACAGACTCTTCTCTCCACTGGGGTGTTTTCATATCTACCTGTCGCGATTCTAAGGGGCGCAACTCCGCATCTGAATTTTGCTAGTGAACTTCTCTGTGCTCTTGATATCGGGATTCGAACATAAGGTTCGAATAAGAAATTGGGATAATCATGCGCTGGCTAGTTCATCAGCCTATGGACTGATATACTAGTATTCAAAGGACACTGATGTTTAACGATGCAGCCAGCTATATGGCGGCGGTCTATAAATAATCTAATCTGGACCAGACAATCTAGTGATTCACATCTAACGACCCTGAAAAACACGGAGATGTAGGTCTGTTATACCATTAAGTACTTTTTTAGGCTAACAACATGCAACATATGTGATATGGTGCTTAATATTCACGATCTCATCAGATCTGATCTTAATTATATGTGAATAAAACCAATACAGCCAGGCTGCATAGAGTATGGCCATGGCCATATTTGTTTACAAATTAAGTTACATTAAAACCTACGTATGTATATTGACGATAGACTAACACATAGTGTATGAAATATTTTATTACACAGTAACTTTCTCTTCTCTAAAACATTTTCTTGGTGTTGATTTGAATATATCAGAATAGGACGGGCTGAGCCATATATGTCATATAAATAGTTTTCACAAAGTACATGTACCACGTTGATTGTGCAGGGCTAACCACATGCCTCAAGGTAGATTATCTGGTCGTGTCTATTTTGTAATAATGTTACTGATGTAAATTGTCGAGTGATAGAAATCCGTGCACACACACATTTTGAGTATATGAAATACCGAACTAGCCGAAATTAAGATATTATCCGATACCTTCGCGGTAACTGAGTGAGTGAGTATGGATTTACGTTGCTTTCAGCTACATTCCAGCAACATCACGGCGGGGAACACCAGAAATGGGCTCCACACATTGTACCCTCGTGGGGAATCGAACCCGGGCCTTCGGCGTGACAAGCGAACGCTTTAACCACTAGGCTACCCCACCACCCCTTATTCCTTCGGGGATCACATGCTAATAACATGATACATAGTGCAAAGATTATAATCATTTCATCTGTTTGCATGTGATAATCAGAATCACAATCCTTTGCATATGTTCATGACGGGTGCTGCCTGTGGGACAGGATACGCTCACCTTTTCGCGAACACCTGGTATCATGATTGTATCATCACTATGTTGATAGTGATTCATAAACACATGCTCATGATATAGTCGGAACTGTATAGGCGGCTCCGCTTTTAGCAGGGATTTCTTAAGGATGAGGATAGGGTTTGTCGTTTTTATTGCAAACTAAACTCAGTGTGAGTGTTGGCGTGAAAGGTATTTTACTAGAGCTTCATTCAATGGCAGTACGTCATCATATTACATAGAAATTTCACTCCGATCTACAAAATCGGAAAAGAAGTTTGCTGATGAGATTAGGACCGTTCATATAAATTATGGATGATGATTTTAAGAGGGGGCATCCATTTTGTTCTGGGGAGATAAGGGGTCATCAATTTTGTACACATGTACTGGGAGGTCAGTAATTTTGTACATAAAAATATTAAAGTTTTATGCTTAAGAAATATGGGAGGGGGTCATCGATTTTGTATATGACACGTAGGGGTGTGTGATCACTCATACACAACAACATCATCATATCACACACACACACACACACACACACACACACACACACACACACACACACACACACACACACCATAAATTATGAACGGTCCCTAGCGAAGCCACATGTCATGCATCCCATTGTAACAAAGTGTTCGAAAAGACAGTGTTCGGCGTTAAATTACAGGTCACATATACATGGCGTCAAATAGTCTGTCTCACAGTCCCTGAACCACATTATTTTCCCTACTGCCAAGCCCTATCTGCAGTGCTAAAGCCCTAAATAAAGCAAGTCTAGATTTCCTCAGTTTCTGAATCTCTGGTCTCACTGAGGTTCCTTTTCAATTTAAATGGGTTTGTTTGTTACTATCAAAAAATGCTTATATATCTCACGTGTTTTGTAAATGGTGACTGAAATGCTTATTTACCCAGAGACCATATAATCTATTATATGGTCTCTGATTTACCCCACGTCTTTTGTAAATGGTGACTGACATGCTTATATATCTCAAGTGTTTTGTAAATGGTGACTGAAATGCTTATACATCCCACGTATTTTGTAAATGGTGACTGACATGCTTATTTACCCCACGTATTTTGTAAATGGTGACTGAAATGCTTATATATCCCACGTATTTTGTAAATGGTGACTGAAATGCTTATATATCCCACGTATTTTGTAAATGGTGACTGAAATGCTTATATATCCCACGTATTTTGTAAATGGTGACTGAAATGCTTATATATCCCACGTATTTTGTAAATGGTGACTGAAATGCTTTTATATCCCACGTACTTTTGTAAATGGTGACTGAAATGCTTATATATCCCACGTATTTTGTAAATGGTGACTGACATGCTTATATATCCACATTTTGTAAATGGTATGCTTATATATCCCACGTCATTTTGTAAATGGTGACTAACATGCTTATATATCCCACGTCTTTTGTAAATGGTGACTGAAATGCTTATATATCCCACGTATTTTGTAAATGGTAACTGAAATGCTTATATATCCCACGTATTTTGTAAATGGTGACTGAAATGCTTTTTTATCCCACGTATTTTGTAAATGGTGACTGAAATGCGTATATATCACATGTGCGTTGTGCATGGTGGCGGATGAAATATGCATGCCATTTGAGATGTTTTCCTTAAATTGAAGTAGATACTACTCCTGGGCGGAGGATATCATTTCCGCGTGTGACCAGGAATTATAATGTATATATTATTTGATATCGCTGATCAAATATGGTTTAAACTTTTATTATGTCCTTGGAGTTAGAGTCTAACATGTTCAGTGTTGGTATGGTCTTCACATATATATATATATATATATATATATATATATATATATAGAGAGAGAGAGAGAGAGAGAGAGAGAGAGAGAGAGAGAGAGAGAGAGAGAGAGAGAGACGGCGGGATTGCCTAGTGGTTCAAGCGTTCGCTCGTCTCGCCGAAAAACCGGGTTCGATTCCCCACATGGGTACAATGTGTGAAGCCCATTTCAGGTGTCCCCTTCCGTGATATTGCAGAAATGTTGCTAAAAGCGGCGTAAAACTAAAACTCACCCACTCACTTCATATATACTGTATACAATCATATTTCGCTCTGTTAACAAGAATAGTTAAGCCATGACACATCATAGGGGTATAGACAAGTATAGTCTTGTCATGATGTACTGTGTAGGCGTTGAATGGTATAGTCGGGCTGCACACTACTG